TAAGCTTATCCTTCTATTAAACAGGAAAAGTTTTTTAAAAACATGAAAATAGGTACCTTCAATGCCAGCATACTATTTAATCCCATAGTTTCAATTATGGGATTCTAGCCAAAAAAAAAAAAAAATCCTGAATATTTTTTAAAAGCATTCAGTGGAAGCTGTTCATTACAACGTTCCTGTAACAATACAGGAAGTACAGAATACTACTCAGGGACCTAAGTTTGGGGAACTGTTTTTAAGAGTTCTCAGGTGAACATCCTTTTGGTGTAAAATGGTTTGCCAGCATGTAACATGAGCAGTGATGTGAATAACTGGCCACCAAGGTAACCACTGCCTGGAATCCCCAAAGGGTAGGGCCCATCAGTAGGAATGCACTGGAAAGCAGTGACAGAGACTATTTTAAAGGTGTGAAAACCTCATTCATCTCATGGGACAAAAGTTCTTTACTAGCAAAAAAAAAGGGATGTTCAACTTGTGAAAACTGAGGAACAGAAGGGCATAAGATGAACAGGATGGCACCACATCCTCACCCCCAACAGAGGTGCTGCAGATGCTTATGACACACACTAGACGTCACTGACATCCTTAGATGTAGATCCGCAGAGATTTCAAATAAATCAAGCTTATATATATTTGCCTGCCACTGCATTACATTTTTAGGCCATTTTTAAGAAAATCAGTCCTAATTCTACTGTAAGAACTAATGTGAAAAACATACCTCGATTATTCCCTTTTGAGACAGAGGTGAATTGGTGTGCACAACGCCCAAGGTCACTGTCCTGGTGCTTAGGACTTACAATTACTGAAGAGACAATGTCCAAGTATACATATGGAGGAGGGGCGGTGGCTGCCCTCCCCCCACCATTTTCCCTTTTTCTCTTCTGTTTACTATTATTCATGATCATGAACATTCGCTAATATTAATTTTAAATGACTGGAATTTTTCATACATTGAAACAAATCAATCATTCATCAACTACTTATCAGACTCATTTTGAATTCTAACATTCAGAAGTAAATGTTAGAAAGCTCTCTCATCTTCATAACACAGCTACCTTACCTTTCCAACTGCCATGGCAGACCCCAGCCTTACCATCAATGAATCTACACATTTAAAGAATAAACAGAATAAAAACACTGACAACATACAGGTATGAATAATAATATAATTAACCCTTTCTAAAAGAAAAGGCATATGAAACAGTACATAATAAAGTAACAATTTAACACAAGTCTTTTTTTTTTCCTTTTTACTCAAAGCAGAGACAATACACTGGGTTAACATGCAACTTAAAAAAAAAAAAGATTAATGTACAATCAAACATGGGAATTCAGCAGTAAAATTTGGTTTGTAGTTTCCCCTAAAAAAACTACTTTGACATTATTCCTCAGTTTCAGAATCAGTAAGAACTTACTACTGGTCACCTGGCCAATGCCTTTCAGTTTTGGAACTTGACAATTCTGAACACATGAACACTGAGACAAGTACGAGGAAGCAGATGAGCTTCCTCATCTTTACCAATGGAGAGGAACCTCTCCAATCTGCCCACGTCCTCCCTTCCTCAGACTACCACAAATACCCCCAGTCATCAATGAAACTGTTGATTTATCAAGAAGGCACAAAGCATTATTTTCCCATGTATCTAACACATCTGCACTGAGGCTATACAAAAAAAAGCACCAAAGTGGTCCACTATCCTTGCTTACTGGAATTTTCTTTGTGTGTGAAATTTCCCTAGAATACAGAGAAACACAAGGTCATAAAATGATAAAGACAAAATTTCTACCTGTTCTTGCATGCAAAGCTTTATGAAAACTTTTATTATATTGTAAATTCACTAAAACAAACCCAAAATTTTTCAAAAGGCTTTCTAATTTATTTATTAATTTGCATAGAATTCAATTTGGTGGTGGTGGCTGTGATGGGTTGTGCAAAGAGACTTGTTAAAACACATTTTTTTTATCTAGGCTTCTTTAGAAAAATGATAAACAAGAAAGATAAATAGCTATAAGAAGAGTTTATCATAATTAAAATCAATACAACTAGTAAAACATATTTTATGCACCAATTAAAAGGATTAGTATGCATCTTTCTCATCTCTGGCAACCAAAAGAGCCCTCATTAAATATAGGTGTTATCATGGACATTAAATCTAAAAAATACCTTAAAAGTGCTTTGCAGGTATTACTCCATCTCATGGAACCACAGAAGGACATTACACAAGAAAAAGCTACCCAATCTAATGCACTAGTTCCAAGAAAAAATGAGAGGAATTATCATCAATGTAAAGTCTGAGGAAAAGGAATAATGATCATTACTGTAATTTAAAGTCATATACACATTTTACTCCATGCAAGATGATTTATACTATTAGCATGACATAGTTGTACATCACTGAAAATATAGTCAAACCTTGCCCTAGAATTTACTTACACTCTATGGAATAACACATGAAATATGTGGTAAGATTCTGTCAAATATTTTGATTTATAAGCAGAATCTAAATAAAGTAGAGGGTATGGCACATATACACAAATGAAACAGCAAGATCTAAATGATAATGACACTCAAAATTACTAACTACTAGTTATTAGAATTAAGAGGCTACTTGTAGGCAAGGAATAAACTTTCCAAACATACAGTATAATATACAGCTAAGATTGTTAAAAAGCATAAAAAGTTTTCTAGTCTTTGTATTAACTAATGCCAGGGTTGTGGAACATTTTTTATCAGAAAAAAGAAATTAGAGCATTACTCATGCTTCTTCACACTATGGTTTGTTAAGAGTCAAGTGGGTATCTTCAATTTCAAGCATTTTCATTCAAATAAAGCACAAATTGTGACTTAGAAACCCTCAGGTCTATGTCATCAGTAAGATAAGCACATATAATACCATAGGAACCACATAGAATTTATTAGATGGACTTAAAAAATAACACAAATCAATTTTAGGCACTTGAGTACAGACTATGGGAATTTTCTACCAAAGGACAGAGTATCTAGCAGGCAAAACCACACAAATTTTTAAACTTTCAGTTTTAGAACAATACATAAGATCTAGACAATCAGTAATGTATATTGTATAATGAATCCAACCGCATCCTCTTATGCTTCTTCACAACTTCACACCTTTTAGGGTTAAATAGAGGCAGTTGCTTTTTAAGAAATCAAAGCACTAAATTCCAACTTTCTTGCTCTCATTCCATTATCATGGTCTTAAAACAATCCATCATACATTTTTGAGGGAGCATGAGACAGTTTTATTTTTATATGAGGAGCTTTGAATATTTATTTTCTATCTATATCGGCATCTACACAGTCAATGCATGATGGCTGATTATTCTGATGTCTTTTAAAGCCCATTTCAACAGGCTTGTTCTGTAAAACTAGGCTAATTCCTCTAGACATAGAATATTCATCTACGTTTTTCAAGCAGACTTGAGGAAACAACACACGGAATGTGGGGAATGGTTTAAGGATAACTTTAAACACTAGTTATAGATTTGGTTTGGCATCTTGTTCCAATTTAAAACAGGTATTCTCCAAAACATAATCATTCTTGGTACTGCAAAGATAACACACATATAATACCATCTGGTCCTAACTAGTAGTTATTCCTCTTATCTCTCGGAATCTACTATTCAGTTTTAGTTAAAATTAGGAAGCATTAAAATGTTAAATACAGTATAACTTATAGGATTCCACTACTGTCATCTATGTGCTGTATACACTGCAATATGATCTTCCAATGGACTCAACAACTCCAAAAGTGCCCTTTAATGAGCAAAATCATAATCCAAATCAGTGAATCAAGTCAGTGATGGATGGATAGCTAGGAACTACAGAAGCTACTCAAAAACTAATGGTTTGAGGAACAATGGCTTATAGGCAAAGTTTACAATATCTTAATACAATGAAAACATATCTTCATTGACAATGAAGGAATATGCAGGAGTGCAAGGATCATTGAGCTAGGGAAAGCTGACTCTAAAGCAAGTTCCAGATTACATTTGGAAAGCAGGAGGGGTCAAATTAAGTCATGTGAAGAAGCCTGTCTCTCATCAGCCCTGAAAATGGGAATAATGCCAGAATACAACTAGGCAACTGAGAGGATGACCCCAAAGTTCCCATACTATACAAAGTAGAGCAGACTACAGATACATTCCCCAAAATGCCTGCAGAGAAAAACTAGAAAGTTGTCTATAGTTTTCTATTTACTCTAATATAAACAGATTTTGAGGTTGTCTGTACTGTATGTGGTTGCTGCAGTAACAGCAAGAAACATAAAGAGCCCACAAGAGAGGGGACATTTGAGTCCCATCTCTAGGCATCTTAATTCTATACACTCAGACAGAAGGAAAAGAATGTCTCAGGGATTTCACGCCTTTCCTCAAGCTCCCTGCGCATCACTGTAATACCTATGAGGCACTTCTTAAAGGCCAGAAAACATAAACTCTTCTCTCTATTGCACACCATACTTATCTAAAATTCACGGTCACCACCTGTATTAAAAATGACAACCAGCAGAGTAAAGTACTTTTTACTCTTAAGGCAAAATGTCACCTAAGAAAATGAATAGCCACTCCCCACTGTTCCCAACCCATCTTCCTTCAACTATATTCTTTGCCAGTCATGATGGACAAGACGTGCTGGGAATATAAAGAAAAGTGAAATCTCAACCAAGAACCCTCAATATAATGTGAAAGATATACTTTATAAATGCTGTTGTGACAAAATTAAGTATATTTAAATGCTTGAGCATATGGTCTCTTTGACCAAAATATCGAGAGGTTATATGACTTTCAAAATTAGTATCAAAATAAGGTATTTAAATCCAACCACTTGTACAGAAGTATAAATCTTTGTCCTTTTCAAAGTTGAGCACAATGACCCTAATAAATGATAGTTGTTTATACCTAAGAGTAGCATTTTTGCTTAATTCCACTTAAATTACATATAAATTGCCAATACGACTTCAAAAGGAAATAATTGGAAATAATACTGTTAAAATAATTTTAATACTTTCATACATGAATTAAGTCTTTTTTATCCAGTTGTAATTCTGGTTTTACCTACAAGCACACAGGTACCATCTTATTTTGATGCTTGACCTAGAAAGGTACAAAATTAAAAAGTCGTGCTTTATAAATGTGGTATAAGATTTCATGCATGCTCGTGATGTTATATCAATGACTAACTACACTAACTCAACAGTAACAATGCAGTACATGCTTTAAACATCCAATGACGAATAAGTTTAGCCAACACTTTTTTGACAAGAGAATGTGCTGGTATTGTGTTGAGCTGATATGACAGCAACCCAAGGGACCAAGGACAAATTAAGAAAAAAAAAAAAAAAAGGAAGATTTTTCGAGGCTACATTACAGAATATTTGTTTCTGACGACTTGAGTTTTAAAGGGAATTTTTAATATACAAGTAGTATCTTACAGTGATTTGGAAAAGTATGAGAATATACGAACAAAGCTTAGTAAGTTAGGATTTACTTTTGTAAAAATATGTTGACAAATATTGTATCTGTATTTGGAAAATTGTAACACAAATAAAAAACACAAAACATCCAATGTAACACTGATCTCCCATGCCTGACTCAGATATAGATGCTGAGTATTTTATATTGTATACAAAGAATTTCAAAGTTCCATCAATGCTTAGTATATACTATTATTATTCTTTACCAAGATCTTCATGAAATTTAAAAGGCTGGTTTAAAAGTAGTTATTTCTTTTCTTGAGTAGTCTAAAATATGTCAATTTGGATTAGCTTTCAAATTTTCAGGGCATGAAAGAGGTACAAATAGAGTACCCCAGAATATTTTTTAACACAGTTAGGATCATTTCATTTCTAGTTAAGCCAGGAACAACTTTAACTTTTAGGTATTTAAAATTAAAATACCCTAAGCAAACATAAAAGGTGTTTTTGGGTCAACTTATTCTTAGTACAAGTAGTATATGTCAATCGATTTCCAACCAAATTCTTATAAGCATTCAAAAAACACTTGTTAAACAATGCACCTGTGTAGCGGAAGATACAAGAATTCTTAAAGAAACAAAAAAATCTCAAACTATTCAACTCCTAAAATAAGAAATTTGCAAATTAAGAAATTATCAATGCTGCATGGAGAATACTTTCAAATTCACTTTTAACTGCTTGACATATAATTTAAAAAGATTACAGTCAAACTATTTATTAGTATTTATAGAATGCTACCTTTCTGGGCATATTTGTTATACACAACAGTTTTTAATTAAGAAGAAATCACTTCATAGTTTTAATCACATAAGACCAGCAAAAGGAATAATCTGATACTTGCTCAATGTCAATTCTGTCCATTAGTAGTATAATAGCCAAGAATCTGACTGATAGTCCACTTATTTGGGTTACACATTTCCATGTGTCTCTTTCAAGAGCAGCTCAATGATTTGGGGGGTAGAGACCTGGTTAGTACAATACAGAGAACATAAGGGGAAGGTAAAAAATGACATTTAACACTACTGCCAGTACTTATCTCATTAGGGTAATAACTAAGGATAGTATTAATTTTTGTGTGATTTGCTTTCAAAGCCATTAACCTAAATGTGACGTATATACACAATACATACACAACCCTAAGCAAAATACTTTTCATAAGTGATATTACATTTAAAAAATTGGAAATAGTATCTGTGCTGATTTGTATTTTGATTTAGTGGAACAAGAAGAGAACAACATTTAACCAGGGAGGGTTATACTGACAATAAAGCTCTTAAATTCAAAATGTCTTCCTCTCCCTTTGTACTTACCACAGGCTATACAATGTCCTGAGAGGATTCATTATGAGGAAAATGTCAATCACAGCTTTAATAATGTACTTTGGAAGGAGCTAATGGAAAGCAAATTGTAAGGTGACACTTCATCTTTGTTTTCAAATAAGTGGTCTTAATGTTTCTTCTTATAGAAAAAGTTTAAATCAGTTTATTATAAATATATCTAAACCATTAATTTTTGCAGCTTTCAGGTAAAGTCCAGCACTTTGTTTATACAAAGTCTATGAGAAGAGTTCAGTAGCGATCATCTAATCTTAAGTCGTGACATCATCCACTCAAGTCCTTGGCATAATCTATGAAGAAAACAAAATCATATGATTAAATGCTATGGACTACAAACTGTAACAAGGTAACACTTGTCCTCCATTTACCTGAACTAGTCAGTACCATTTAATGTCATGCTACAGCATGCAGCCATACTCTCACACCCAGAACATCTGTGCTTTTGGCTCAATTATCTCTAGTGCCTTCAACAGTGCCTGACACATAAAAGCAGCTCAATAATTACACAATTGTCCATAAAATGTAATCTGGCAATTTGATGATCAAAAATACTAAAAATATCGATGTTCTGTATCTTTTTTTTTTTTAACTAACTCTAGAAACGTATCTTTAAAAAATCAGGTAAACAAGTTTATGTACAGACTATTATTCATTAAAGCATTTTAATAGGAAAAAGAACTTGTATGTCTAGAAACAGAGAAAAGTTAAATTACTGTTCATATCATGAAATAGTAAAACACTGCTGAACCATGAATAAATGAACTAATTCAAATACTGAAAGGGATGTTCATTGGGATAGAAGAAACCAAATGTTTAGCAAGAGGGAAATGGCTTTAAGTATTATGTTACAACAAAAGAATTGTTATGAAGTATTAACTATGATTTCTCATAAGTTTTTGAAGATATGAAAAAGCATCCTACATTTTTTAAAAACTCAGTTTTTGGGGGGTCAAGCATGAGTCTAATAATATAAAAGAAGATACAAATAGATGTCAGCAAGGCAAACAAATGGTTGTTTGGAGGAAGCCTATACTTTTTTCTATAAAAAAAGATTTCCTTTTAAAAGTAGATTTCTACTTTTAACTTACTGATAGGAAACACTATGAAATAATACAAAATAATAAATGAACACATTTAACTCTAAACCGTTAAAATGAATAGTACTTACCTTGTATGGACTGGAAACTGTATTAAGCACTTCATGGTCAATGTTTTAATGAACCTTCCCTACACTAAGATCAGAATCCTTCCCATGTTAAGAGGAAACCCAGGCTTAGCCAAGTCAGCTAATGGTAGAGTGGAAGGCAAAACGAGACCAAGTTCCAAAGCTTGTGATCTCCAATCCGCTGAGTCAAAATGCTTACCAGAGCTAAAACCAAGAATCTGGTCATCTGTTTCTCTAACATTAGGCTTCAATAACTCATATTCGTTCTCCTGTCATCATGGTGTGGAAAGGAGAAGAATTTCTCACTTTACCTAATTTATTTACCTATGCTCAAAACTTCTGCCTTTTTCAAATGACTCAAGAACCTCAACCTAAAGTGGGAGGTGAAGGATATAAGAAGAGGATGTAAGAGGATAAATACGGTAGAAATATTATGTACTCATGTATGAAAATGGAAAAATTAGACCTGATGAAACTAGTCTAAGAATGTTGGGAGTCTAAGAATAAAGGAGAATGATAGAGGGGTGAATTCAACTATGATATATTGTGAGCACTTATATAAATGTCACAATGTGTACCCAGTATAATAAGATGAGAATAAAATTAATTTTCTACAAAAGATGTCTTTTTAGAATCCTTCATCTCTAATTCAATTCTTTTTTGGTGCTTTTAAATATGTAAAGATCTATCATATTAAACAAAACAAAACAAAACAAAACAAAACAAAAATTCAGCTTGCTCTTTCTTTTAACTTTTTATTCTATTTCCAACCACCCCTTTCTCGCCATACTCAAGAGCTCAGAGCCAAAAAAATAAAGAGTTTAGAGACACTATCTTAAAGTCTACTTCCTTTTTAAACTAGACTGACTTTTCTCTGCCCATTTTCCCAATACACAGAATCCAATCTAATCGACTGATTTAATTTATTCCATCATTGTTAAATTCAATGGCATTCTCTCCATCCTCCTGGTCCTTGACCTTACATTTTACAAAGCTGGTCATCATTTTCTTCTTGAAATACTTTCATCTCTGGGCACTAGACCCAGGCAAAATCCTACTATAGGCACTCACCTCTCTTCCACACCTCTCACTCCAGAACCAAGGACCTTCTTATCATGCTCTAATTCTAACTTTTTTTTCTTTTTTGTAGTGCTGGAGATTGAACCCATGGCATTGTCCATGCTATGCAAGCATTCTATTCCCGAGTCACACCCCAGCCCCAAACTTTTTAAAAACTTACAATAACTTCCTTTTGACTACACTGGTGACAATGGCAAATATCCCCAAACTAGTCTAACATATGAACCATCTTCAACTTCTTTATGCCTAAAATATGAATTTAAAATAATTAGATTGGGTCAGGTGTGGTGGTGCATACCTGTAATCCCAGCTACTCAGGAGGCAGAGATAAGGAGGATAGTGGGCTGAGGCCAGCCTGGGCAAAACACTAGCAAGACCCTATATCAATCAATAAGCCAGGTGTAGTGACTTGTTCCTGTGATCCAAGCTATGTGGGAGCCATAGGTAGGAGGGTAACAGTCTGAGGTCAGCCCTCAGAGCAAATATACAAGACCTTCTCTGACAAATAACTAAAGCAAAAAGGGCTAGGGTAATGGTTGAAGTGGTAGAGGTCTGCCTAGCAAGTGAGAGGCCCTGAGTTCATACCCCAGTACTGCCAAAAATCAATCAATCTGTAGGGCTGTCATGAAGATTAAATAAGACACAGTATGGAAAATGTTCCAGAGACAGGATTTGTTTAGCAATTGTTAATTCTTCACTTTCATCATCACCATAACAAGTTCTCCTGACTTCTCAAGCTCTCGTTGATGCTCTCATTTCTCTGAGCTCCTACAGCGACCATCATCTATGTGCGTACATGTATTAGTTCAGGAGGTTCATTTCATGTATATTATGCTTATGTTGTCTGTTTTAGTGTTTACAGAATCATTCTAAAAAGACTCAACTGTCTTACATCTCTCCATTAAATATTTATTGACTTTAAGAAGACAAAGACATTTCTAAGCCAAATGAATGTTATCTAAGAGGAAGACTTCTTACCCCTCTCCAGTAAGAGCACAACATGCCTGGATATGCCACTGGTGATCTTTAATAGAAGTTAGCTTCAAAAACTGGGAGATTTCTGCCACAGTCATGCATTCTTTAACATCTTGTTTATTAGCAAAAATCAGCAACCCAGCTTTCCTTAGGTCCTATAAAAGCAAACAAAACTTTAAAGGTCAGTACACTTTTTCATGTTAACAGTTTACTTTTCATGATCTTAGTTACCTAGAATATCTTGTTTACTTTCTATTCTCACAATACACCTGGTACACAATCCCATCATTTCCTAACTTTTGTACACAATCTCACAGCTCATAGAAGTAAACTCAACACCAAACACATTTTATGTAAAAAATAAGTATTTGTATGGATTTACATATTTCTCAGTCTCAGAAGAACATTTTTACGGTCCTAAGTGCTATATTTAATAGTCATATATATAATATATATAAAATATATACCCACCACCCCAATTAAAAAAAAAAAACCAAAAAAACTAACTTGGCTTCAACAGCTACTAAGAGCTACCTGTTAGCATGGTCTTCAAAAACTCTCCAAAATTCTACCCTCCTTATACTTTTCTACTTTACCTTACAGTTTTTGCCTTACTATATAAACTCACTATATAAACATACTCTGCTTTTTAAAAATTTTATTTATTCTGCTTGTTTTATTTTTGAGATGGTTTCACTATGTAATCCAGGCTTCAAACTCACAATCCCCATGCCTCAATCTCCCTCAGCCTCCCAATGGCTAGAATGACAGGCTTGCACCACCACACCTGGCTTAAACACTGTTTTAATTAGCAATCTACTTTTTCTCTGAACATTTCCATGTTGTTCAAATAATTTTGTATGCACATATTCCTTTCCCTTAAACTTCCTAAACCAGCCTTTCATAAGCAGGGTTCCACAAGAAAATTAAGTTCCATAGAAAATGATTTTAATGACAAAACTGCAGGTTGTATACAATGGACATGGCTAGTATCTTCTAGGGGCACAGGAACTAAATGAATTTAACAATGTATGCTTCAAGGCCTTAGTGCTTAATTCTCGCCTGAGAAGCACAATCTTAAACCAACCTTATTTATTCTCTGATACCTAACTTCCTTGTCCATGAATATTTCTTAGATTTGAACATATAACAGGGTCATCTTGGATTGACATAAAATTTATCAAGCTTCCTTACTTCTATGCTTGGACTCTGAGATAAGTTCTTTATGCTTCCTGAATTTGTTCCTAACAATCAACATTATTGTGAATATGATCTGAACAAGAAACTCTCCACACTAACCCTTAACCAAATACAGTAGCCGAGAGCTGGTGGTGTGGCTCAAGTGGTACAGTGTTAGCCCAGTATGCACAAATTTAGTAGTCCTAAAAAGATTTTAGCTGTTTTTCAAATTAATACTTGTATTTTTGCATGGGCTAGACTCAGACCACTATCCTCCTACCTATGGCTTTCCATAGGAGATCACAGGCATGTACAACCACACCTGGTTTACTGAATGAAAGAGGGTCTCACTAACTTTCTGCTTGAGCTAGCCCAGAACTGTGATCCTCCTGATGTTACCCAAGTAGATAGTGTGAGGTGCTGCACCTTGCCACAAGTTCTCACTTATGTTGAATGCCATCTTTCTTCTATTTTCTTGTTTTTGTTGTGCTGCAGCTTGAATCCAAGGCCTTGTGCATGCCAGGCCTCTTTAATAGAGATTTTAATGGGATATTTTGGTTTTAATAATGTGCATATGTGTTTAAAGCAAGTTTACAGTAGGTACAAACTGACAGTGTTCCACATTATTTTAATCTTGCAAGAATACACTTTTAATGACTGCTTTGATTCTTTCTGATAAAAACAAAATTATGAGTAGTAAATTTCTTCTTTGGTTAAAAGGAGTTATGCAAAATGTTTTATTTAACAATACTGACTCCTAGTTTATATAAAACTGACTCTTTGTTGCAGTGCCCTCTGTAGGATGATAGCTATTAATGCTATCACAATTGCAGTTGCCTGAATAGCATGCATGTTCTGAAAGGGATACTGTAAGAATGTTAACAGTTTTAGGATTTCCTTTTCAATGAGTTTCACCTATAGTTAAGTTCACGTCTATATAAAAGAGGAAAAAGCTGAAGATATGGAGTATGACTTGTACATTATATAGTCATTATCCAGGATATGTTTTTCCTCTTGTCCTGAATGGAAAATGGATCATTATCTATAGTTGATACATGGCTGAGTGAGTCACTAAGCAGATGGACTTTCCATGGAATTTTATTCCTTTCTCCTATCTTCTAGGTTTCAGTAGCTCTTGCTGGTGTGTATTGAAATCTTTTATATAGGTCAGCTTTGCAAATGCTGGCACGTTCAAAGAACAAACCTCTGATATAAGTATTTGTCACAAATTAGGACATGTACTTTATGCTGTTTTATTTATAAGTAATATGTATTCGTCATTCTTAGTGTTGAAATTATTTAGAGAAGCCCCTGAACTGAAAATATGAACACACAATAAATAAATTTATTGAAAGTTCTCTAAAACAGAAAAAAAACTGAATACAATTCTTTCTAGATTGCAAAGACTCAAACTTTATTTGGAGTTCTTAACTAATTTAAAAAACTAGCTATTTTACCTATTTTTGAGTATTAGAAGAAAGAAAAATCTTCCTTTCCTTTCTATTACCCAACCTCAAAACCAATTATACATTATGACAACAGAAAATATATTGGCCCAAGGGTGTTTATCAACTTGATATAGGAAGAGGTCAAAGTTTAAGGTGAACAGTAATCATTTGTACCATTCTAGACACTTTACACTACTAATGCTACAGATTATGTCTTCTTAAGAGTCTGCAATGTATTTTAGTTTAGTGAAGGAGATGAACAGCAGCAAGTTCAAGAGACATTTACTTAGCATCTTCTATACCTCATCTCCAGTTGTCAATTTGTTTCTCAAGTCTTCATTTGTGAAGATAATTCCTAGAAGTTGAGTCATTCAGAAGAAATCTTCAGATTTTGGTATTTAGAACTATTTGGTATTTGGATTAATTCGCTTCAAAGTTTTATACTTCATTTAAGATGAAGCTGAGACATATTTAAAATTTTCTTGTAATTTGGAATACATTTAAAGAATCACTTTAATGATATAGTTTTGTTGATTAATGTAATACGTATGAAATGCCCAACTAACCCCTTGCCTGATTTTTCATTCTCACCTTGTTATTCTTTGCTCCCACTGTTACTCCCAGAACTCTGCTCAAGTCCACTGAGTAGCTCACTCTTGCAGATGAACTACTTCACCTATAGTTCCCTTCTGTTAATATCCTTGTCCAGTCTCCTTTCACTTTCCAGCAATGCCTTATCTGTGTGTTTTTCTTTGTCTTGCTCTACCAAAAAGCCTGAGTAAGATACCTACATCTGAAACCTGGTTCTTAAAAGGCTGTTCAAGTCACATGAACTTTCTGGACCACAATGTAACAAGTGATAAAAAGTGACCTGCCCAAGTTAGTGCCCCTTGCTAGTAAAATTCAAAGATTTTGTTTGAGCCCTACAACTGGGCCCTTAAATACTGATCCTGTTGGTGTAAAATACTGACCAGATGATGTAAAAATCAAATAGAGTAGCTATCTTAACAGAGTAAAAAATACAACCAAGACACAACATTCATACCTATTTTTCTTTTTCCAAAGTCTTCATAACACAATCTTTTGGAATAAACTGAAGAATGTTGTTCTTTTTTAAATAAATATATATAAAATACAAGGTTGAAAGGAAAAAAAAAAAAACTTTACTTATCTGCCTCTTTTATGGCTTATTGGTTGTAACCCAAACTAGCAATGATTGCACATTGGCAAGACATATTTTTCATAATCCCAGGAAGTTTAACATGGCTGCCAGGATTAAAGATCAAAATAGGAAAAAGTATTTTTGGTGGCAATGATCACTACAAGGAAAATGAGCTACCTTAATTCGTAAAACTACTTTACTATAACTTACTTCCCACCCCTCCCCAGCTCTGTCTGTCTGTCTGTCTGTCTCTCTCCTCCCTCTCTCCTTCCTTTATTCTTTTTGTGGGACTAGGGTTTGAACTCAAGATTTTATGCTTGCAAAGCAGGTACTCTACTGCTTGAGCCATCTCTAGTCCATTTTCCTCTGGCTATTTTGGAGATGGGGTCTCACAAACTACCTGCCCAAGTTGGTTTCAAACATCAATCTTTCTAATCTTAGCATACCAGGTAGCTAGGATTACAGGCATAAGCCACTGGCACCCAGTTACTGTAAGTTCCTTAAAAGTCTCAAAAGGTTGCCCAAAACATACCAAAGTTCTAAAAGCAAAGCTCAAATCAATATTAAGTAAATATAAAACTTCACTGCAAAGATATCCAAACTTTTTAAAGCTTCAAATTCAACTGAAATTAAAAAACCCCACAAGCCATACATATAAATATTAATTTTTCTACTTCTACCTATAAGTGAATTGAGAAAGTACCATCTATAATATTAAAAAATAACCAATTGTTTTAAGAAAAATGAAAAGCATTGAAGGATTTCAGTTATGGAAGTGATATGATCAGGTTTGATTTTAGATAATCACTTAGACTTCCTTGTGGAATTTGGAGAAGAAGTCTAGGATTAGAAACAATGACCAGGAAGCTGTTGCAGAGGTGAAACTACTAGTTTCAAGTAAAGAGACTGGAAAATCTTCCCCTGAAAACCAAATAAAGCTGAACAAAAGTGGCCAAGACTTATTTCAACAACCTGGCAATAAAAAAAAACATGGAACAATCTTTAAAAAAAAAAAAATCAACCAATTGCTACTACAGTAAATAAATACATGATTTTATAATTTCTAGTGTAACTAAGTTGACTATATTATTTAATTTTAATTTTAATTTTTTTTTGTGTAGTTCTATGGATTGAACCCAGGATCTCACACATGCGAGGCAAGTATTCTACCACTTAAGACACACTGCTAGCCGCTAGCTTAATTTTTAACTTGTGTCACTAGTGATATTTTTCAAAGATTAACACAGTGTGTCTAGTCACATTATTTTGTTTGGTTAAAGGGGCAGTAGCAGAGAAACCTAAGAGTAGGAGCCTTGCTTCCAGATACACATCAAGTTTGGAAAGTATCGAAATCATAAAGCAGGCAAGGCCAACAGATATATGTATTTTTTAACTTGAACCCCTCATAAGAAAGTATAAAGAACACAATACAAATATCCTTCCCACAATATCTAAGGTAAAAAGATGACTTACCTCGTGTGCTAACATTTTATAGAGTTCTTCTCTAGTTACAGAAATTCTCTCTCTGTCTGTACTGTCCACAACAACTATTACAAACTAAAAAAATTACAAAAAAATTACATAATGATTACATAGTTACAATGATTACATAATTTGACATTGGAAATTTTATAAAGTATGTATTTGACTTACAAGCCACTAATATCAAGAAATTAGAACTTTTTTGAAACAGACTCTAACTTCAAACTTGAGATCTTCCTACCTCAGCCTCCCAAATACTAGGATTACAAGATTATACTACCATACCTTACAAGATATTAGAATCTTATACTATTATTGGAAAACCAGACATACTTACATTATAAAGCCTAAATTGATTAATTTCTAGCCCAAATATACTTACTAATTTTTAATGAAATGAGAAAAAAAAGTTAACATTTTAACCAAAATACAACATGCTTGTTTTCTAAATTAGAATCTTGAATATCAGTGGATCTATATCTATCTATTTGCACTATAAATCAGTAAGAAAAAAACACATTATGGTACTAAATTTATGTGACTTCCAGTCATCCAACTGAAAACCTAAAAGAGCATGTGTATGGCCATAACGTGACAATTAAATTTGTTTTAATTAGAAAATCAAAATAATAAATTTATCTAAAAACAAGCTCTCTTCCTTATCTAACTGGCATCTGCTTCATGAATGCACAGCCCTTCCCTGAAGTGATGATAAGACTGGTGTCAGAAATGCAATGAAGGACTTAAGGCTCTGTGGTGCTGGCCTCCACTGCATCTCCTCCTCAATTCCAAGGGCACCAAAAAGCAAGAAAGAAACCAGACACAGTTAGGGATAACTGATTTATGATGCCCAAGTTAACTACATATTAATATGCACTATTTAGTTTAGCATATCTTTCTTTTCCCCAAAAATATGAGTAAATGTTTAATGGAGTCTGGGGGGGGGGTCAGCCATTAGAGGCACTTACTAGTGTCTTTATATATATTTAAAGTGTATTTTATTAACTTATGATCATCACTAAAAAAACAACTGGCACAGCCTTTCATTTTACAGGCCTACACAATGAATTTAAGTGTCACAAGTCTAAAATTTCCTCCTAAAAAGTAATATGTAAATAAAAACATGTGATTGTGTCTAATATGCTTTATAATCAAAAGAAAAAGATATCTTTAAAGTGCAATTGTGTTGCATAAAAGAAAATGCATAGTAAAACTGGCTAAGAATCGAACCACCAGAGCTCTTTCACTTAACTAGAATTTCCTACACTAAGTCAAATATAAATAGTAAAAAAAATAGAATTAAAATTGTGAGGTGTAAGTCATTAAAAAATAAGGTAAGTTTTAAAACTAGGATAAGTTCTAGGACTACTAAGACAATCAGACTAACCAACCACTAATTTTCCCTACAGATTCAGAATGCTATACAGAACTATGACTCTGAAATAGGGAAAAGATTCTGCTATGCTTAAATTCCATATATCAAAATACTGTTATATGTTTTAAAGACTAACTATAAGGGTTCAAATTTAAGTCTTCCTCAAGCATTCTGAACAGAGAAGTTCTAGCATATTAGGAAACATTACCTCTGTGTTAGTATAGTAAGTGTTCCAGGAAGAACGAAGAGATTCTTGGCCACCGATATCCCACATTAGGAAACGTGTGTTATTAATCACTATCTCTTCTACATTACTTCCTATTGTAGGGGATGTATGTACAACTTCATTCATAGAACTGAAAAAAAAATTCATATATATTACAATTAGTAAGGAAGCTGGATTATTTGAATAATTTTTCAATCAGGGGACAAAGCAGCATAACCTTTTATATTTTATACCCAAATGTCTTTTTTCCATTAGCTCATACCTTGAGTAAGCTAAGAGTCTACATAGAACTTAGAACTAGGTAGTAAACTAAGAATATCCTACATCATTCCAGGAGACTACATAAAGACTAGGACTTTCTAAAAGCTTTAATACAAAATATGACATGTTCAATGTTACATGCATTTCTAGTTCTCTCTACAAAAAGCTGGTTAAATTTAGTTTGAAAAGTTGGTTAATTTGGTTAAAAAACAAGTTTATGACCAACCTGTTTCTTTACAGTTAACTGTACTTCCATATAATTTTTTATTACTGTCACTGACCAAATATCACCAGGCAGAAAAAGTAACTAGAAATGAAAAAATAAAATTTTAAGGTATACTTACAATTGGTAAAGGATGGTAGTTTTCCCTGCATTATCCAACCCAACAATGATAACTTTGTGCTCTGAAATAAAGAAAATACTAGTGACTTATTAACTATAGACATGCACACACAAAAGGATTCCCTTCTTTCCCCTTTTTTTCTATGGTGTACTTCAGTGATAGCACTTTTTATCTTCTTAGAACTCAAAAGAATACTCTAGCAAGACCAGCCTCACTGCTTTTACACTCACTTTCCCCACACTCCTCATTCTACATAGAGACCTCTCATCTTTCCAACAACCTCATCTTTCCAACAACCTCTCCAGGCAGCCAGAAGTGCTATATTGTTTCTACTTCTAAGGAAGTCTACTCTCAGAAAAGTATTCCAAGTATAGTCATAGCAATCTACAAATGACTTCTATCTGTGGAATTTAGGCATCCATTAGTTAGGTATATGTGGGGTAGGGTGACTAGGATAAGACAAACAAAGGACAGTCTTTTCAATGGGTAACTGTAAATTATACAAATACATTTAAACCATAGGACTGTTGTAGCATAACAAGTCTAAGACTCTACAGCTACACTGGCAGGGACATGCTCTTCATACTTGGTCTTTGTGGCATCACTTTCTCTAAGTTTTCTTCCTGTTTCTTGACCATTGGTTTTTTTTGTTGTTGTTGATGTTGTTTTGTTTTGAACTGACTCCCTTCAAACACTCATGTTCTCCAGGATGCCTTCTTACACTCACTTCACATAATCAAAACACCTTTGAATTCACCTATTCCCACACTGTGTAAAAACAAATCCCAAAGACACAGAGTGCGTGGAGGAAGCTGATCTCTAAAGATGATCCTTGGATAGTCATGCCCTTGGGATATTCCCTCCTTCTGAATCTGAGATGACCCTGGGACTTACTTTTAACTCACAAAATGCAACAGAAGTGATGGTGTGTGACTTCTGAACCTAGATTACCAAGAAAGCTTGAAGTTGTTACCTGGTTGTTTTAGACAATTCCTGTTAGGTTAAACAGACACTTGATAAGTCCAAGACTGCTCTGCAATTGAGTGAAGAAGACCAGGATAGGCAAGATCTTGTGGAGAAAGAAAACTAGCCAGCCTCTAAGCATCTACCCTCCCCAGTTGTCCCAGCCATTCTAGCTAAGAGGCCAGACACATGAATAAAGAACCCATGATGGATATATAGCCTGCTTGAAGCGTCAGATGACTTTATAGTTTCAAGTTCTCAAGCTACAGCTTTCTAGCTAAGGTCAACTCACAAAACCATAAAAAATAATATATCACTACTTTAAATCACAAAATTAAGTGGTTTGTTACAGATAGCAATAGGTAATAGAACCAGTATGGGAAAATTCATGGAATTATGGACTTTGGCAACTATTTCTTTAACCTAATTTTTCTTTTTTAAAAAGTCATAATTACTAAGGCATGTTAATTATACATATTAATGGGTTTCACTGTGAGACCACTTCATTACTGTAAAATAAGAAAAATACTACCTATCTTTTAGAATTATATAGCAAGAATGACAGCACACAGCAATATCTACCCCCAAAAGAGGTAAGTTTCTAACCTGTGTTCCCAAGTATCTCCTAAACTTTAATCTACCTAGCAGATAAACATAGTGCCACTCTCTATTTCCAAAATGCAACAGTCAAACCTGTTTCTAATTGTCTTACCCAATTTGCTTAATGGTACAACCATTAATTCATATGCCCTACAATTTTGTTCAATCTTTTCCTCAATCCCCAACATCTTATTTTTCACCCAGTTCTATTTGTTTCCATCTCAAAAACATACGCCTCCCCACTGTCCTAGCCAAATTCCTCCCCATCTCTTACTTGGAAGATTTTCCTAAGTGGCCTATCTCTAATCTATCTTCTCATTATTTCTATCCTAATTTGGGGGGGGGTTGCACCACAGAGCTGATAATGCTACTCTCATTTAAATTATGATTGTCTAGTTGGACAGAAGGACAAGGTATTAAGTTTTCAGCCTTGTAAAATAAAGCAATTTCCAACTGAGTAGGTTTCAGCTTTTATCTTTCACCACTATCACTAGCTACCTAAAGTGAAGTTTAAGTCATTCTCCCTCCTAGACATACCTTCACAGCAAATGTTTTTCAGCCTCTATTCGTGATTTCTTATGAGTGACTGTCCTCTCTTGTTCTTCATTTATGGAATTCCTACCTATTTTTAAGGTCTAGTTTTCCATGAAGAATCACTTTCTCCTGCTTTTCTACATCATATCTAGTATAGCTCGTATCATAATTATTTATATGTGCACTAATCTCAGCTTAGTAAGGCTCCTTTATCTGTACAGAACACATTCATTTTTATATTCCTGGTGACTACAACTCTTTCTGATACAAGATAAGTACTGTCCCTTCATACAGGTTTTCTTCATTACCATTTTAAAGACCTAGGACCCATTCTATTTCATGTTTAGAGATAACTAAGGAACTGAGAAAAGGCTCAAATACAAAGGTGATACTTGAAGGGTTAATAATATGTAGAAAGACAAGCTAAGGGAAAGTTGAGAGGCCTCATAGATGGCATTCCTCTCCTGAATTGACCTAATGTAGAGCCCTTTGTCTCACAAGGCTACAAACTCCAAGACTAGGCAGACTAAGAGAAGGCAACTCACAGAAACGAATAATGTATAAAAAAGGATGACAAATTAGCACAATAAAACTGTTTAAAACTGCCTGATAAGTTAGGCATAGTGAAACATACCTGTAATCCCAGCAACTGGGGAGACTGAGGCAGGCAAATCACAAGTTCAAGGCTAGACTGGCCAACCTCACAAAACACCATCTCAAAAATACAAAACAAAACAAAACTAGCTGGCAAGTGCAGTCTCCTTATCCTGGTCCAATACCTATAGGCCACATTCATTACCAACTTCTTTAGTTCCCTTCCAAGACATGTCTATTTTAGTTCTCCCTCCCCTTTTGCATTTTTACAATACATCACCAAAAGTCATCTCTCCCTGAGGAAAAGTATGCACTGCTGCTGAATGAACATCAGATAATTACTTGGGAAACACGGAATTCTAATCAAATTTGTGTTACAGGCTGTGATAACCAATGACCTCATCTTTATATTAGGGCCGTGCCTACACCAGGGTCAGATAATTGAGTTTTAAGGACAGGGTACCTTTTCTGTGGAGAAGTTTTTAAACAACATGGCAATTCTATCTAATACTGCATTTTTCTGTGTCCCAAAATTAAGCATTTTCCTTTTGATGACATAGCTCTTCTTCCATTCTATTAATATAAGCACCTATATACACATAAATGCATTCAGACAGTTTCCCACTTGAATACTGATTTTTAACCAGCACATTCTCAAAATGTCAGATAAGATGTTACAGGAGTACATTTTGTAGCAACCTCAAGTATTACAGGACAAAATTTAGATAGACTTGCCAAAACTCAGGAAGAAAACACATTTACTCTGACTAAAGAAAGAACCAATGAAAGAAACAGTACCCATAAAAGAATACAAATAGGACAAGACCAAAAGTAAGCAATAAAATTATAGGCAAGAATCTGGGATATTAACTGTAAGGGATGAGATTGTGTGTATGTAAATGTAATGTACAGAGACCACAAAACATAAGAAACTGTCTCTTTGTTTCTTACATAGTCTATCACTTAAGAAAAGTTAAACACTTATATTAATGCTACCATTTTCCAAAAATATTCTGCTACTTTTGTGTTTTAATTGCTTTTAGAGCCTGAGGTACACCATTTTGAACATTCACAATGGGAGAAAATCCAGGAGTCATTTGGTATAATTTTGATAACAAGAGAACAGGTAGCTAAAATAAGTGCTGTGAATGATTTAAAAATTTGTCTCCAAAGAAATTCTAAAAGAAGTTTTCAAAGATACATTGACTAACAGTAGGACGTCAATGGAAAAAACAATCCAGCCTCCTACAATGATAGCTTTAAATTTAAAAACTCTGGTTTGGGTATAGGTGATTTTTAAAAGTGACCTTTAGCTATGCCCCTATGATTTATTTTCTGATTCCAACCTTACTGTTTTTCCTAACTCTTAGAAAGGTGTAGATAGGCAAAACAACAACAAAAATACTAAAGAACTTTTTTGTCATACCTGGCTACAAGCTGACTGTGACAAGCAAGTAAAGCTGCCCTGAACAAAACCACTGTGCAATAAGACAGAGTCACTGAGATAAGGCAGATGGTAGGTAGAAGAGGCTCATTACAAGCTGACTGCCTGCAGAGGAAAGGATGATGTTAGCAGTTAAGATGCATAATCTTTTAAGCCACTGTACAGAATAAACAACAAAATCAGTAAGTTGAAGTCAGATACCATAACCTATGGTAGATAAAGATTTAAACTGTTAAAACTTTTCTAGATCTTTCTTTAGCAGTGTCTAGAAAAAATATGATGGATGACACAGTGTTAGAATCCATGTCTGGCCAGGTGAAAAATAACAGAAAACAGTGTCGAAGATGGTGAAAAGAAGTAATGATGATTCAAGCTACTGAATTTAGGTAGAGAAAGAAATGTAGTTAAGACAAGGAATGACTGGAAGTCTTAGTAGGCAAAAGGTTAGCTGGGGTAGCACATGGAAGATGAAAATGCCATGGACAAAAAGGAGGGGAAATAACCGAAGTCTGAAATCTTGGAGGTCACATATCCTTCTGCTCATGCCCCATGTTGATAGATAAAGTGGACAAATGAATAATGTTAGATTATTAGAAATATGATAGAAAAGGATGGATAATAGAAAAGGATGGATATGACAAAAAAGGGTTGAAGTCTTAACCCAAAACTTCTTTTAATCCATTTCTTGACCTATCTACTAAAATTCAGATAAGTCAGTCTACTTGGTCTCCACAACATCTCATGGACTTTCCATTTCCATTTCCCTTTGCTAATACATTCACTACTCTGGAGAAAACCTCCCTCTTCTGCCTGTTCAGTTTTACAAATTCAACAAATTCCTATGGCACCTACAAATACATAAATATGCAAACATACCTCCAAACTCAAATTTCTAAAGTAAATCAAGGGAATATAGGCTAATATAA